TGTCGCATGCCTTTAATCCCAGCACTTGGGAGGCAGAGGCAGGCAGATTTCTGAGTTCGAGGCCAGCCTGGTCTACAGAGTGAGTTCCAGGACAGCCAGGGCTATACAGAGAAACCCTGTCTCGAAAAAACAAAAACAAAAACAAATGAAATACAAGAGACTTCACTTCTTCTAGTGAGGAGACAAATAACAAACCTGTGAGTCACTATGCACAGTATTTCCAGTTATGTGCTTTGGGAAGATGAGTAGGTGCTTTGATGGGGAAAGCCTGGGTGTGAGACTGTGGCTGAACAGGGTATTCAGGCTGGGCCATTCAAGGAGAGGTGCCTGTCAGGCAAAGAGGTGGGGATGAGGGGCAGCCTTTAGACAGAGTAAGTGCAAAGGCCTCGGGACGGAAGCAAGCGTGGCTGAATTAAGACTCAGAAAGGTCATGAGGGCCTCCAAAAAGTTATGGGGAGGGAGGAGGAACAAGGCAGGAGAGGGAGGCACAAGGTAGGGCACCTGGAGTAAGAGGGAATGGCTGGAGGAGGGTGTGGAGTGGCCTGTGCCTTTAAAGTTCTGATGGCAGTCACACCATCACTCCTACGGTATCGCTATCCAGCTGCACACCCAGAAGTTAATTACCAGGACGTATTGGGCACCATCCGGATGGAGGCTCTGTCAGTTTTCAGCTGCCATCTAACCTATGCCTGGAGATATCAGTCTGTGGTGAGAAAGCTTTGACACTCACAGGTTTAAAGGATTCGGCCTGTGGTCGGTTGGCTGGTCCATTGCTTTGGGCCTGTGGGTAGGCAACACATCATGGTAGGAACACACGATGGAGAAAAAAGAAAACAAAACAAACAAAACTTAAAACGAAACGCCGGGCGGTGGTGGCACACGCCTTTAATCCCAGCACTTGGGAGGCAGAGACAGGCGGATTTCTGAGTTCGAGGCTAGCCTGGTCTACAGAGTGAGTTCCAGGACATCCAGGGCGATACAGAGAAACCCTGTCAGAAACAAAACAAAACAAAACAAAACAAAACAAAACAAAACAAAACAAAACAAAACAAAACAAAACCAAAAACCTTAACTCATGGCCAGAAAGAGAAAGAGACTAGGGCCCCATAGTTCCTGTGAAGTGTATAACTCCAACAACCTCAAGCACCTCTCTAGGCAACATGGTGTCTAAATGTCTCCACCATATCTTGTTATTGCCAGGCCGGGTGAAGCCTTTAATACATGGCCTGTGGGGGACACTCCAGATTCAAGTAACAGCAGGGATGTCCTGCAGAATGAGTGGTCCAACAAATACTCTGCAGGTGTCTAGGGACTGTCTAGATTCAAAGACACAAGGGGACCTGAGGACTAAAGCAACAGGGAACTCTGGATGGATCCCAGATTAGACGCATGGTATTAGTGTCACAAAATAAATTCTGTAGATTAGGAAACAAAATAAAAAATGTTAAGCTCAGGATATTGGTCAGGATACAGAAGTTGGGTAGCCAAATGTCCTTAGTTTTAAAAAATACATATTGGGACTACAGAGGGGATTCAATCGTTAAGAGCATTATGTGTTCTTTCAGAGGACTTGGGTTCAATTCCCAGCACCTCCATGACAGCTCACAACTGTTCTGTAACTCCAGTTAAAGGGGCTCCAACACCATCATACAGACATTCAGGCAAAACACTAATATATACGAAATACACTCTCAAACACTTCAGTGGAACTATTATCCATAAACACAAGTCTTGACTCTTAAAATTTTCTTAAATTGATTTCTTAAAATACACAGGTATGCATTTGTATTTATTCATGTGTGTGTGTGTGTGGCATTGTATCAGGGCCTTTGAATGGCGTAGTGGGTAAGGCTGCCATGCCTGACTCCCTGAGTTCAATCCTCAGGACCCACATGATAGAAGGAGAGAACCGATTCCAATGTTGTCCTCTGACCTACTCACATACGTGCAAATAAACAGATGTTTAAAATGATGTATTAGTCCGGGTTCTCTAGAGGTACAGAACCAATAGAATGTGGGTGTATGTTCTCAAATGGATTACATGATATAGGTTGGGCTGTCCAACAATGGCTATCTACATGCTGGGGAGCCTCAGAAACCAGGAGCAGCTCAGTCCATAAGGCTGAAGGCCTTAGGAATCCCCAGTGGCCCATGGTGGAAGCTGAAGATGCTGAGTTTGATGTCAGCTGAGTATAACAGCTGCAGCAGTGATATAAACATACTCAGCATCAAGGGGCAAGGGGAAGCAAGGTTGCTTTGCCTCGGACATCTTTATCTGGGCCACTTAGGGAGGATGTTGCCTACCCTGGAGGAGTGTCTTCCTGCCTCTTTTAATGGCCTCCTGGAAATGCCCTGATGATCTATACAGAGGTATGCCCCTTAGTTAATTCCACATTCAACCAAGTTGACCACAGATATTAACCAACCCAGATATACATGTATACCTTATGAGGAAGAAAGTGGACGGGAAGATGTATGAAGGAGCAGGCATGTAAACAACTCCTCTTGTCACCGTGACCAAAACTACTGGAAAGAATCAAGAATGGAGGAAGGATTTCCCTTGATTCACAGGGGATCCAGTCCATCACCGCAGGATGGCATGGGGTTGGGTCTCACTCACGGTGGTGGAAGCTCGCAGGTTCACACTGTGGCCTATGACATACTACAGGATATACTTTTCAAGGCTGGCCCCTCCCCCCTGCCCCCAGCCACACACTAGGCCATAAGTCACAAATAGCACCATTGGTGGGGAGTGAGATGTCCAACACAGAGGATATCTCAAATTCAAATTATACTAGAAATTTGGGGATTTAGAAGAAAATACAGCCGGGCAGTGGTGGCACACACCTTTAATCCCAGCACTTGGGAGGCAGAGGCAGGCAGATTTCTGAGTTCCAGGCCAGCCTGGTCTACAGAGTGAGTTCCAGGACAGCCAGGGCTATACAGAGAAACCCTGTCTCGAAAAACAAAAAAACAAAAAAACAAAAAACAAAAAAAACAAAAAAAGAAAGAAAAGAAAAAAATACAATTAGCTATTTTTGTTCATTGCTATGACAAAAATACTTGATAAAGAGCAACCTTTGGCTAGTTCCCCCCCTCCCTACCCTGCACAGTTCCAATGGTGCAATCTTTCTGGGGAAGGTAGAAGGTATGATGGCAGGAGGGTGAGGTGGCTGGTTACACTGTATCCACAGGCAGGAAGCAGAGAGAGATGTATGCTGGTTCTCAGATCACTGTCTCCTTTTTATTCAGTCTAGGGTATAGCCCAGGTTCAGTTAAACCTCTCTGTGAGTACAAGAGACACACCCAGAGGTTTGCGTGCTTCGCAACCTTAAATCCGGTATACTAACCATCCCAAGCTACGATCCCTTCCACCACTGCAACTTTCCCCCCCAAGGTTGTACAAGTTAACCTGTCTACAGCTGCCTCCCCACCCCAACCCCGGTTATCATACATGTTAAGCAGCTGTCAAGTTTTAAAGTTCAGGCTAAGAATAGGTTTGCCGTGCACGTCGGATGGCAAAGAACACGCCGTAAACCAGGCAGCAGTGGGCAGCCAGGAGTCTAGACAGTCCTGGCAGGGAAAGCGGCGCCTATGCCCGCTTGAGTGTATTTTCTTGGTTCCCTCTGCTTCCTAGGATGAGGTTCTTTTGTAAGTTCTAAGCCTGGGCCAGTGAGTAACGCAAACCAGGCCACCTGATGATGCCGTTCCGCAGGCTGGATGCCAGGACAGGTACTTTGTGGGGAGTTCTCCAGGGGAGAGGGTCGCCTGGTGATCTCATCACCCAGCACAGAGTGCTGCTTTTTATACAACCTACCGGACTGGAACTAGACGGGTTGACAGTTTTCTCCTAAACTCTCAGTTTGATCACCTCCCTTTCTACCTATTGAACACAGATCACGGCATAGCCCCTTGTAGCTGGCTTGTTACATTCTTCTCCAAAATATAGTAATTTTGTATTTCTATAAATATAGAACTGACATTCCATTTAACATACTATGTTAACGTTATGTACTAGTTTTTGTAGCACACACAACCACTTTCCCCATGTTCCTTCCACACCAGGCTAGCCTTGGAACCTGCCATCCTCCTAAGGCCTGTACTGGCTCCTTTTGGATTGTATAGTACAAAGTAGCAACAGCAGGGCCGCAAGCTCTGGTCATCAGAGATACATTTTCCATTTTCCCACCAGCATCTGTATTTGCTGGTGCTTTGGGGGAGTGGAACTTGGCTCCCAGCAGGCCCAATCTAACTGTTAATGCTCCAGGCCTGTAAGGATCCCTCCCTGGCTAATTGCTGATCAGGAGGCAGCCAGGGTGGGGTATCTTCTGAGAAATGGATTACTCTGAGAAATGGATCATGCAACAGAGGAAGGGCCCCGAGGATGCAGAACGCTTGGACTAACTGCATCCGGTCCCATCCACAGCCAGGAACCCCCCCCCAGAACCCCACACATGAAGGCCAGGCCGTGTCCATGCCCAGCACGCATGTCTGACACAAGCCGGGCCTCGGGCACGCGCACCCTCATTCATTCACTCCATTCATTCTGCAGACGGCGGCTGCGCGCCTTCAGCGATCGCCCTCCCGCGAGATCCCCAGTGTCTGTGGACACAAGCCTTGGGGACGAAGGTCGGGCGGTGCCCGCTGTGCAGCAGCAAGCGACAGAGGAGCAGCACCCGCCTTTCCCGCCCACGAGGCCCGGGCTAGGCCGACGCCCGCGTGACGCGCGGCCTCCCGCAGTGAGCGCATGCGCGCGGGAGCCCGCGCTCAGAGCCGGCTCACGCGGACCTCCTGGTCTGCGTGCGTGCGCGTTCCCGCTCGCCCGCCCCACGTGACCCGCCGCACCTCTCCCGCCCTTGGCGCTCAGACGGACCGGCCGAGTCGGACGGCTCAAGCGGACGTACGCGTGCGCGTGCGCCGCGTGGTTGGGCGCGGCGCAGTTGCTCCGCCCCCTCTAGGCTCCTCCCCCTCCGCGCGCCGGCGTCCGCTGCGTCTCCGGCATTTGAATCGCGCTTCCGCCATCTTTCCAGCTTCAGTCGGACAGGCGCGGAGACTCTTCTGGAAGGTAGCGGCGGGGCCGGGAGGGCCGGACCGGGCGCGGGCGGCGACCGGAGGGTTTGGGTGTCCTTTGGGTGGGCTCGGGGCGGCGGCGGTGAGGCGAGCGGACGGGCGGCGCCCTGGGCTTCCCAGCCACCTTCCCTTCCCCCACCGTCTCACGCCGCGTCCCCGCCTTCCCGCGCGCTCTTCCCGGCCGCGGCCTTTGTGGGGCGCACGTGCCGCAGCCGCTCTCTCCCGCAGGATCGCCGCGATGGCCGCCCAGGGAGAGCCGCAGGTCCAGTTCAAGGTGCGTGTGCGGGCGGACGGGCCTGCGGGGCGAGTGGGGAGGTCGGGAGGACGGCATGGCGGGTGGGGACCCGGGCCGCTCACGCTGCCGCCTTCTCTGTTAGCTCGTCCTGGTGGGCGACGGCGGCACCGGGAAGACAACGTTCGTGAAGCGCCACTTGACGGGCGAGTTTGAGAAGAAGTATGTAGGTAGGTGCGGCGGGGGCTGCGCGGCCGCGGGGCCCCGGGGAAAGGCGCGGGCAGTGCATGGCTGACCCCGCCGCCCTCTTCCCGCAGCCACCCTGGGCGTCGAGGTGCACCCGCTCGTCTTCCATACCAACAGAGGACCCATCAAGTTCAACGTGTGGGACACAGCCGGCCAGGAGAAGTTCGGGGGCCTGCGCGATGGCTACTACATCCAAGGTGAGGGGGCCTGCGGAAGTGGGCCTGGCCCGCGGACATGTGCTTGGGGTGTGAGCTGGAGATCCCAGCCGTTGCCGGGTGACTAAGGAAGGGAGGGAGACGAGAGACAGAGGAGTCGCTTGTAGGGAGGCGACCTCGTTCGAGAGAATGCGAGATTTTTTTTTTTTTTTCAAAATGAGTCGTCCGTGGTGTCGTTCGATCACATGCTGTGTCATGCTAGGCATTGATTTGGGGCAAACTGTGTGGCTTTACTACTTAGTAGGAGACCAAACTGCTGGGAAGCTGGCGGGTCACTTTCAAAACTTGAAATTCAGGGCTACACGTAGTGGTTATTAGTGAATAGCTCCATCCCTAAAATAAATGATGAGCGTTTGGCCCAGATGCTAACCCTCCGGGCCCTCTCTCACACGTGAGGCCTGCCTCGTAGTGTACATCGTACTTTTACTTTTCTCCTTGAAAGTTATTTAAAAAGCTTAAGGATGGGGAAAAAGCCCGTTGGTGGTTAAAGATGAGTGAATATCCTTGTGATCATACTAGCATGATGAGAAAATGGAAGTTCTTTGGCTTCTTAGCGCATAAGACAAAAGGGTGTTTCTCCCCTGGGTTAACTTTCTAGCCAATAAAAATTGGAATATGCACGTGCTGCCTCTTTAACTGTATCCTCAGCATCTCTGCAGGGTAGGTTATAGAAACCCGGACTCAGATTTCCTTAGATAAAGGGATAACATTCCTTAGCCATGTGTTTCTAGGTGGTAGAGAGTTTATAGGTCCTACTTAGTCTAAAGAGATAGGTTCTCTGGAAGACTCGTGTTTCACCTTTGATGAACTTTGGGGCCAGTGGTGATGATTAGGTGTCTTGAGGGGGGAAGAAGGTAGTTGATAAGAGTGGAATGGTCTTGACTTTTGAAGTTTTCATTTGAAGAGGAGTTGGAATCAGTGCCATGTTTTCCATTCTAACTTTTTAGCAAGGGGAGGGGCATCTCCCATCTCTGAATGGAGTGGGTTGATAGGTGTTCCAGAGTCAGGCCCAAGATGATGACTGAGCCCTGCAGTAGACTGAGACATGTTCCAATTCCTCGAATGTTTTTCAGCCCAGTGTGCCATTATAATGTTTGACGTAACATCAAGAGTTACATACAAGAACGTACCTAACTGGCATAGAGATCTGGTACGCGTGTGTGAAAACATCCCCATTGTATTGTGTGGCAACAAAGTGGATATTAAAGACAGGAAAGTGAAGGCAAAATCTATTGTCTTCCACCGAAAGAAGAATCTTCAGGTATGTTCCTAATTTATTGACTCATTCTTAAAGAAGATTGTAAAGTACCTGTGTATGTTATAGATTGAAAATAGGCCGTTATGTTTTAATGTGGATTATAAAATGTCTTTGTTTAGGGTGTCTTGGAATGGGTATTATTAATAGGATTTTAAGCATACATTCCTTTTTGTTTTAAAACAGTACTATGACATTTCTGCCAAAAGTAACTACAATTTTGAAAAGCCTTTCCTCTGGCTTGCCAGAAAGCTCATTGGAGATCCTAACTTGGAGTTTGTTGCCATGCCTGCTCTTGCCCCACCTGAGGTGGTCATGGACCCAGCTTTGGCAGCACAGTACGAGCATGATTTAGAGGTATTTGTTCTTTCAAGTTTTTTCTTAGGGTGTTTTGTTTTCGTGTTTCTACACTTTGCCTAGTTTCTGCAGAAGTTGGCATTGGCTCTGCCCAGCCATGTGGGGTGCTAGGAATCAAATTCACTGGAAGAGCCGTCAGTGCACTAAGCTGCTGATCGTCTTCCAGCCCTCGTGGTCCTCACAGCTAGTGCGTGGTCGTGGTGGTTTTGATCTGGACAGTTTATTTTTGTTTCTTGCTCCAGGTTGCTCAGACGACTGCTCTCCCGGATGAGGATGATGACCTGTGAGAGAGTGAAGCTGGAGCCCTGCGTCAGAAGTCTAGTTTTATAGGCAACTGTCCTGTGATGTCAGCGGTGCAGCGCGTGTGCCACCTTATTTAGCTAAGCAGATCGTGTACTTCATTGGGATGCTGAAGGAGATGAATGGGCTTCGGAGTGAATGTGGCAGTTACACATACCTTCATTTTTTTGGACTTGCATATTTAGCTGTTTGGAACAGAGTTGTTTCCTTTCTGAATTTCAAAGATAAGACTGCTGCAGTCGCATCACAGTATCCAGTGGTGAAATCTCGTTTGTTACTGTCATTCCCATTCTTTTCGTTTAGAATCAGAATAAAGTTGTATTTCAAATAATCTAAACAAGTGAATCATCCCTTGTTTATAAGCATATTAAAGCTACTAACATGAAGGAGCTTGTGCCACATTATAGTTTAAAATGCTTTTGCTTATTATCTGAGGTCTATTCAGTTATGTTCTCCTTGTGCCTACCTTCATAAACATTTGGATTGTCCTGTGATTCAGCTAGGATAATATCTACCCTACCTGCGTTTAGTCAGGTAGTTTAACCTAAGAGAAGACCTTGTGTAAAACTAAAGATTTAAGTATGTACGCAGATTTAAGATTTAGTTGTCACAGCTGCTGACAGTTTCTGTAACCTAGTCCTTCAGAAGGTAGAACTGCGGTTGACAGAAGCTGGGGATTTTCTGAGACCATCGTGAGTACTCCAGTTCTTGATTTCCATGTCTAATGTTGGGTCTCTAAGATGTGCTCTGCTTTCAAATGGTGGCTCCTGCATTGAGTGGTAGTCTCAGGAGCCAGAGGCAGGAGGATCTCTGTTCGACGCCAACCTAGTCTACAAGAGCAAGTTCCAGGACTGAAAGACCTGTCTCAAAAAAATTCATGGTAGGCTGTTACAATGTTATAGCAGCTGATTTTTTTCTTCTCCCAGAGGGTTTATATAGGTTGTGCAGGAAAGGAAGTGACAGGAGTACCACCACTGAAGAGTAGGGTGAGCTTTTCTGATGTGAAAGTATTGGTTGAGACTTTATCTTAGGTATGTAATACTGGCAGAACTGTGGTGTGCTCAGGTGTATTTACAGTAAGCTGTTCAGTGTGCTCTGCTGATCCAGTCTACCAAAGTTCTTAGAAGGGTGGTTGGGTTTTTGGTTTTTTGTTTATTTTTGTTTTTTCCTCCAAAGAACGGAGGAACAATGGGGAAGGCGAAAGGCACGAGTACTATGCACTAGCTTCAGCAAACTGATTTTAAGACTCAGATTGTATATGCTACGCTACTACAATCGGGTGAAGACCCTGTCTCTCCCCTGGCTGGGATGAAACCTCACTTAGATGTCTTGAATGAATACAATGTATATAAACCTGGTGTAGAATGTAGAACCTTACGACTTTCTGGTTTTTGTAACAGTTAAATGTGAGAGCTGCTTTCCTGTGTTTAACCAGAGTGCAGAGATTTACATTATTTATTGGAAGAACTTAAATATATATATCATTTCTGCTTTGCCTCAGTTTTCTGAGTCATCTCTAGTGTTTGCTGTAGGAGTAGTGGATGACATTTTTTAAGATTCGAGGTTTGGTCTGCCAAATAGAGTTCTCTCCAGTTTTTACAAATAGGAGAAAGTTCTCCTCCATTTTTTTTTGTTTAAAAAAAAAAAAGCATCTTTGACTAGATGGCCCCTTACTAGTCATTATTACCCAGCAGCTAGGGCTGACTGAAGCAAAGTCACCATGGAGAACCTGGGGTCTGGTGTTTGAGAAACAGCTTTATTCTATGGGCTTTGGGTTTGTTTCCTTTTTAAGACTTATGTACATGAGTACACTGTAGCTTAGCTGACTTCAGACACACCAGAAGAGGGCATCCGATCCCATTACAGATGGTTGGGAGCCACCATGTGGTTGCTGGGAATAGAACTCAGGACCTCTGGAAGAACAGTCAGTGCTTTTAACAGCTAAGCCATCTCTCTAGCCCTGGGGGTTTTTGTTCAGTTTTTTTTTTTTTTTTAATCACTTTACATTCTGATCAAAGCCCTCACTTCAGTTGCACTCTCACCTCAGAGAAGGGGAAGCCTGCCTTGGGTACTAACCCTCCCTGGTACATAAAGTCACAGCAGGACTAAGCACATCCTCTGCTACACCCGGCTCCAATTGTTAGGGAATCCACATGAAGACCAGGCTGCACACTTGCTGCATATGTGTACGGGGGCCTAGGTCCAGTGCACACATGCTCTTTAGTTGGTGGTTCAGTCTCTGAGACCCATGGGCCCAGGTTAGTTTACTTTGTAGGTCTTAGGGTGTCCTTGACCCCTTCAGCTCCCTCAGCCCTTGCCCTTACTTTTGCTAGCTCCCCAGCTCCACCTGATGTTTGGCTGTGGGTCTCTGCATCTGTCTTCATTGCTGGGTGAACCTTCTCAGAAGACAGTTTCGCTTAGGCTCCTGTCTGCAAGCAGAGCAGAGTATTATTACCAGTATCGGGTTGGCTCTCATGGGATGGGTCTCAAGTTGGGCTAGTCATTGGTTGGCTGTTCCCTCAGTCTTGACTCCATCTTTATCCCTGCACATCTTGTAGGCAGGCCATGCTTTGGGGCAAAGGTTTTGTGAGTGGATTGGTGTCTCCCCTCCACTCGAAGTCCTGCCTGGTTATAAGAGGTGCCTACTTAGGTTTTCTTAAACCAACATGAACATGAAGAGCTGTACCTTGTATCTGAAGTAGCCCCACCCAGAACTGCTTGCCTTGGTAGATGAAGCCAGGGACACAAGAAGGTAAGACCCTGGTTTGAGTTGGGCTTGTGGATGTGGACAGAGTGTTGACTCTCAGCTGTGAGGAGCGAAGATGTTTACCCAGTTAAAGCTGCACTGTGACAAATCCTCATTGCCCTGGAAACAATACTGTCAGGGTTGTCTCAGCACCTTGAACTCTTGAAGTTGGAGGTGGAGCTGGGCAATGAAAGGCACCTAGCCCTGTAGATAATGGCTCTCATACATAGCTAGTAGGACCACATTACACAGCTCTGGAGTCCTGAAGGACCTGCAGCTGCTAGGAATCCTCCTGCCCCTCTTCATCCTGATGCCTGCCAGCTCAATATCTTAGCCTGTTTTATGCTAATGGGTCCCTGATATAGACCAGCCACTGCCTGGGTCCTAGTCCCTAAAACTGACCAGATTCACTAGTCCCCTCCCTGCCATAGTAAGCAGTAAAAGCTGACAGTACCCTTCAGGGAAGGAAGCTGAGCTGCAAAGAAGACTTACAGACCACAACAGCGACCTGAAAGAAGCAGAAACCAGCCGAGCTGCCTAGAAGAGGCTTAGAGTTAACGGAGGCACCTGGAAAGGACGCCTTCCTCCCTATTGATTCTTAAAGGTTGTGCAGTTGTTCCAGGTGCCCAGCCTTGTGAGCTGTCACCCATGATGGGGTGAGCTTTGGTGATGCAGCCCTCTGAGTCATTTCTGCTCTTTGTAAGTAACCCCTCAACCAATATTCCCTCCGATAAAACTCATTAGCACAAGTTGGTTTTGGCTGGCATCTGTAAAATTTGGTCTGATGCAGATTCCATGTCTGGGGTGAGTAGCTGTGTGTGCTACTTTCCCCCAGGAAAAAGGTTTGTCCTACAACAGCCTGCACCAAATGATCATGTCCTCCAGTCACAGGAAATGGACCCCCAGACTGCTAAGAAAGAGTTTGCAGCAGAATACTAGAGTCGGCCTGGACCAGTAAGCCAGTAGGCAGTTTGTAAGTAACATTTGCTTTTTTTCCATCCCTGACGTAGCTGAGCCTTTCTCCCATGCTTTCTGACCAGTGAGGAATAATTTGCTGATATTTTGTTGTGACCTTGCAAATGTTTACTCAAAAGACAAGGGACCAGCAAGATGGTATGGCGGGCAAAGGTATATGCCACCAAGCCTGAGTTACCTGAGTTCAGTCCTCTTATCCCACGAGTGCAGAGAACCGACTTCTGAAAGCTGTCCTCAGGCCTCTATGTACATGCTATATATAGCATGTGTGCCTTCCTGCCCATATACAACTGCTTTCAAAAGAGATGAAATGTGTACCACAATTATGTTTCATTCATTTTTATTTTTACATAGCCTTTACCAACTCGTCATCCACAGCTTACATAGACTATGCATCAGTGTGGCCGGTTCTGTAGACCTGGCCAAGTGTTTAGCTATGGTTTACCGCTGCGAACAGACACCATGACCAAGGCAACTCTTATAAGGACAACATTTAATCGGGACTGGCTTACAGGTTCAGAGGTTCAGTCCATTATCAAGGTGGGAACATGGCAGCATCCAGGCAGCCATGGTGCAGGCAGAGATGAGAGTTCTACATCATCTGAAGGCTGCTAGCAGAATACTGGCTTCCAGGCAGCTAAAATGAGGGTCTTAAAGTCCACGCCCACAGTGACACACCCACTCCAACAAGGCCACACCTTCTAATAGTGCTATTTCCTGGGCTGAGCATATACAAACCACATTTAACTCTCTGGCCCCCATAGGCTTGTTCAAACATAGGAGTCTATGGGGGCCATACCTATACATAGCATAATGCAAAATACGTTTAGTCCAAGTTCAGAAGTTCCCATAGTCTATAGCAGTTTCAACCGTGTTAAAAGTCCAAAGTTCAAAGTCTCTTCTGACATTCATCCAATCACTTAACTGTAATCCCCAAAGCAAGACAGGAAATCAGCTGGCCGAACTCCAAACTCTATCTCCATGTCTGATGTCAAGGTGGTCTTCAGATCTCCAACTCCTTTTTCATCTTTGTTTTTTTTTGTTTTGTTTTTGTTTTTTGTTTTTTTGAGACAGTTTCTCTGTATAGCCCTGGCTGTCCTGGAACTCACTCTGTAGACCAGGCTAACCTCGAACTCAGAAATCTACCTGCCTCTGCCTCCCAAGTGCTGGGATTAAAGGCGTGCGCCACCACCGCCCGGCCTTCATCTTTGTTGATTGCAGCAAATTCTTTCTCCTGGGCTGGTTCCACTCCCTGTTAGCAGCTTTCCTCAGCAGATAGTCCACAACTCTGGCATTTTAAACATCTTCGGGTCTCCAAGGCAACTTCAATGTTACAGCTTCTTGTTTCAATGTCTGGGATCCACACATGATCTTCTGGGCTCCTCCAAAGGGCTGGTGTCACTTCTCCAGCTCTGCCCTCTGTAGCACTCTAAGCTCAGGTTGATCCACTCCACTGCTGCTGCTGTTCTTGGTGGTCACCCCATGGTACTGGCATCTCCAATATGCTGGGGTCTTCCATTGCAACTAGGTTTCACCAATAGCCTCTCACAAGCTCTTTTCATGGTCCCAAGCCTCAACTCCTTTGCATGACCCCTTCAGTCCTGGGCTGTTAACTTCAACTGGGGCTGTACCTTCTTCACCAGTGACCTTCCATGGCCTCTCACA